CAGCAGGGCACACGAAGGTTTAAGGCAGCCTCTCTCCTGCAAGGGTCTTTTCTGGGAGCGAGACTTTCTAGATGTTCATCATCCTGGCCTGGCCTCCCCTCTCATCTGCCAGCGCCTCTTTGCCTGCCCTGCAGTCCGTCCCCCACTGGCAGCCAGAGCATCTTCATAAACGGTGAGTCTTACCAAGTCATTCTGCTGCTGAAAACCGTTGTGATTTCCCATTGCTCTGGGGATCCGTCCAGGTTTCTTCCGGAGCTGGCCTCTGCTTGCCCTCTCAGCCCCTGTGCCCCTCCTCCTCCCTGTGGCATACAGGTCCTCTGCATAAGAAGCTAGTTCTCCCCACTGCTCCCTGCCTTTGCTCATGCTGTCCCTGCCTAGAGCACCCGCCCTCCCCACCGTCTGTGAGTCTGATCATTCCTCCTCCTTTCAGACTCAGCCCAGGAGGGCTCCCTCTGCACATGGCATCATAGTCACTGATTTACTTCCTGTCTCTCCCAGGGAGACAGACACGATGCTAATTATGTGGTTAAGGTCTGTCTCCAGGGAGGCAACCCCCCCGTGAGCGTGGGCTGTGGCTGTCTTCTCCCCACGGTGTCTGCAGCGCCCTGGGCGGGAGTAACACACACAAGGGCAATGCTTCCGTGGCGCTAACCGTGGGCCCAGCCAGGAGTTGTTCCGAGAACCTCACACGTGTTAGCTAATTTCATCCCACCGCAACCCAGGGAAGTGCATACTGTTATTAGGTCCTGTTTACAGTTGAGAAAATAGGCCCAGAGGGGTTAATGACCCCCTCCTAAGTGTAGGGACGGGTTTAGAATTCAGACAGTCTGCCCCCAAATCTGTGCTCTGTGCCATGATGCCTGCTGAATGCATGCATGGATGCTGGACTGTGCCGGAATAAGGTTAACGTTGTGATTGCTATCTTAGCAAGGGTGGGAATGCAGTCAGAGGGAGCTTGGGAGTGTATGGTATGGATGTACTAGAGTTTAGCTACACCTCTATTTAACTAGCATTTAACCAACCTTTGTTAGGTTGTTTCTATGTGGTTTCTATTACTAACATTGCCACCATGGGCTTGCATTCAGCCCACTGTTTGAGCACATCTGGAAGATGCATTCCTCCAGAATTGGACTGGATTGGACTGGATTGGATTGGACTGGATTGGACTGGATTGGATTGGACTGGACTGGACTGGTTGGATTGCATTGCATTGCATTGCATTCCATTGCATTGCATTGTTTGGGTAAAGCGGAGGAATGACTTCCTAATGGTGGAGTTTCAATCATCTGTGACAGGCATAGAACAGATACTTTGACACTGGGCTTGGGATGTGTCAGATCCTGCTAAGGAACTGATTTTTGTGGGCCCCCTCTCTGGTATATTTGATGCTGGGGAATGATATTTGTGGATTTGATAGTTTGTTATTCTCTAAAGAGAAAAGAAAGAACTTGCAGCAGAAAGGTGACTTCTTGAAGTCCAACCAAGGCTCCCCAATGAGATCTCCCCGTCCTATCTCACTCCTAGAGTAAGACCTCACTGGGCCATGAGACACTGGGCCACTCAGCACCCTCAGCGGTGAGTTCACTCGAGACCCTGGTGGAAAGCCTAGAATCACGGTTCAGTCCCAAAGAAACATAAAGGCTCAAGAGACTCTGGCCTCAGAATCATCTTGGGCGGGGGCTGGTCCCCATTTTTCCTACTGAGGATGTCATTCCCATTAACACCACACGATGGATGGATGGATGGATGGATGGATGGATGGATGGATGGGTGAATGGACATAGATAGGTAGATATTGATCAAGCAAGCATGACTTTATACTTGCTTTTGGATTTGGGCTCTACCACATACTAGTTATGAGACTTTAGTTAACTACTTTGACCTCCCTGAACCCCACCTTTCTTGTCTATAATGGGATTAGTAATGTCTTCTTTGTTGGGGGGGGGGGTGAAGAACCGATGGTTGTAAACCATTGAGGGTAAAGGGCCTGGCACACAGTGGGTTCCCACATATGGTGGGGGTTGCTACCGTTTCGTATATGACTGGGCGTTCTCTGGTTGGTGTATTGAGGGCACTTCTTTGGCAGGGGCCAATGGACGTCATGCTCTGTTTGACCCCTGCCTTCAAGGGGATGATCCATGAGGTAGGGGTTCTCAGCCTCTTTCCCTCCCAGCCCGCATGTGGTGACATTCAGGTGCCTGGCACACTCCCAGCATGCATTTCACAGGGCAGGAGTCCTAGCTGCCCTCATTTATCTCCAGGCCAGGAAAGTAACAGGAATGACTGAGATCCACTTGAATTTATATTAAAACAATAAATAAATAAAGCAAAGGGAAGGCAATCATCTTCAGAGTTTGGTTTCTGGCTACAATTTATTTGCAAAACAGCCCCCAGCTTATACCTACCATCCTATCCAGTAATAATGGGGGTGAAGCACTAGCTGGTTTGGCTCAGTGGATAGAGCATCGGTCTGTGAACTGTAGGGTCCTGGGTTCGATTCCAGTCAAGGGCACATGCTTGGGTTGTGGGCTGAATCCCCAGTAGGGGTCATGCAGGAGGATCAATTATTCTCTCTCATCCTTGATGTTTCTATGTCTCTCTCCCTCTCCCTTCCTCTCTGAAATCAATAACAATATATTTAAAATAAATACATAAAAATATAATGGGGGGTGAAGGCTAACAGGTACATGTGGGGGGGTCTCTCATTTGATTGGGTTTGGGGTAAACATCATTCTTTCCTCCAGATATGCAGTGAGGACAGTTGTTAGAGGGGTCTGGCCATGTCCCCACATGGGTAGGGAATGGTTCTGTCTTGGACCTTTGCTGAGTGCCTGGCTGAGGTGTTAAGCCCTCCGCCGTGACCATGGGGAGCCACAGACATCCAAGACCTTAGCTGGTGCCCGGCTGCTTGGCCCAGGAGCGAGGTCTGCCGGGCCCAGGCGGGCTCTGCCAGTCCAGCCGGCAAGCTCAGGCTTGACCTGCCAAAGCAGCTGCTTTAGCCTCAGCATCTCCACGGGGGCATGGAACCCAACCTCACCTGACCCCCCACTGTCCTCTCCCGATGTGCCCACAGCGCTCGGTTCCTGCGGCTATTAAAGCATTCGCTGTCGGTCTTAAATGCATCTCTACCTCTTCCGGGGCACTGTCTTTACATTTCTGTTTGCTAGAGATTTTATACAATCTCAAATTCTTCATCAAACGGCCATGGCGGTTACGTACTTTTCTACCGCTGATATTAGAGTTGAAAACATACATCGGTGGTTTAGAATCCCATCGGGCTCTCCTCTTTTAGACAGAAAGAGTTGTGGAAAGCCAGGCTTGTCCAGAGCCTTCCCTGTGGGCACTGCCTTTGTGCTTCCACCCATTCTACAGTCAGCCAGTCATTCAACAAACACTCACTGAACTCCCACTTTTGCGCCAGGCACTAGCGAGGCACTGGGTCTGTTTTGGTGCAGAAGACATGAGCTGTGCCTTGGAAGCCAATACAATGTGACCTCGGTTTTGCTAACACGTTGAAGCCTCTTTTTCTAGAGTATGAGTCAACTGATGGGATTCTTTCCTAAATGTAACCTCCTGGAGCTTTGAGACCATCTCTAAATCTTAAAAATTATATTTGTATTACAGTTGTAACATGAATAAATAATACAATCATTAATACATAATAATAATACAAGAATAAACCGTTTCACGTTCTCACAACTGTAAACCTACTTTTGCCCACTCCTGTATTCATTCATTCGTTCACCAAAGCTCTGTGTCAGGCACTGTGTCCAGAGTAGTGGCAGTAAGGAGGTATAAAGAAGAAAACAACATAAAATTATCTTCTAGGACCCCTAAGTCTAAACGACAGAAGTCACATGTAGACAGAAAATTCAGCCTGCTGTCTCATTTGTGATCGGCACTCATTCATTTGTTCATTGGGTCATAAGCGTTCTGGGTGTGTACTGTGTGCTTAGGCTGTGGTTGGCGCTCTGGGACCTGTGGAAGTATCAGGCACTAGTGAGGCACTGGGTCTGTTTTGGTGAAGAAGACATGAGCTGTGCCTTGGAAGCCAACACAATGTGACCTCGATTTTGCTAACACGTTGAAGCCTCTTTTTCTAGAGTATGAGTCAACTGATGGGATTCTTTCCTAAATGTAACCTCCTGGAGCTTTGAGACCATCTCTAAATCTTAAAAATTATATTTGTATTACAGTTGTAACATTAATAAATAATACAATCATTAATAAATAATAATAATACAAGAATAAACCATTTCACGTACTCACAACTGTAAACCTACTTTTGCCCATCCCTGTATTCATTCATTTGTTCACCAAAGCTCTGTGTCAGGCACTGTGTCCAGAGTAGTGGCAGTAAGGAGGTATAAAGAAGAAAACATAAAATCTTTATCTTCTAGGACCCCTAAGTCTAAACGACAGAAGTCACATGTAGACAGAAAATTCAGCCTGCTGTCTCATTTGTGATCGGCACTCATTCATTTGTTCATTGGGTCATAAGCGTTCTGGGTGTGTACTGTGTGCTTAGGCTGTGGTTGGCGCTCTGGGACCTGTGGAAGAGGCCTAGGCACTTGGAGTCTCCCCGGGGGTGGGATAGGGGGTCCCGAGTCAAGTAGAACCTCAGGCCAACTGCAGTTCAGGCCACAGAATGTTCTGAGGGCCCAGGCGCCCAGCATGAGCCAGTGCACACCTCTTGGCTTCTTCCTAGAGGTGGAAGATTCTGAGCCAGTTATGAGGGATGGAAAGGCCTTCTGGGAGGGAGGGAGGACATTCCTGGCCAAGGGAGGAGCGTGAGCAAAGGTCTTGAAGTGTTCGGAATTTCAAGGGGTTCCACAGGTCCCAGGGGTGGGGGAGGGACAAGAACTTGCTGCGACCGATACACATCCCGGGGCTGGGCCAGGAACAGCCAGGACTGGATGGGATCGGGTATCTGATGGGGAATTTGCCGCCTTCAAGGGAGCTGTGCTTTCTCATCTGTTCCCCTTCGTCCCCTCATCCAGACTCTCTGCGGCCCATTAAAGGATGGCCCGGTGACCTTCACGATGACCTTCACCCTCCACCTGAAGTCCTGCCCTCTTGCTGCCATAAGGAGTTTGATTCTACAAAAGAAACCAAACATCAGAAACATGTCCAGCACGACTGGGGGTGAGTGGTGCTAGATGTTTTAAAAAAGAGAAAAAGCCCAGCCCTCGTGGCTCGGTGGTTGGACATCGACCTATGAACCAGGAGGTCACGATTCGATTCATAGTCAGGGCACATGCCCGGGTTAGCGGCTTGATCCCCAGTGGGGGGCGTGCAGGAGGCAGCTGATTAATGATTCTCTCTCATCATTGATGTTTCTATCTCTCTCTCTCCCTCTTCCTTCCTCTCTGAAGTCAATAAAAATATATTTTTTAAATTAAAATGAAAACTAAGAGAGAGAGAGAGAGAGGGGGGGGGGATTCCCTGGGTCGTGAAGTTTTGGAGATACCAGTTGTGCAGGGCACAGGAATCCCAGAGATGCCCAGCGTCGCACAGGAGACAGAAAGTAAGAGCAGAATGCTGTCAGCTCTGGTCGCTGCTTAGCTTCCCAGCAGAGCTGGCACGTGGGCCAGCCTCGGGTGTGAATACCTGTCCACAGGTGGGACTGGCACCACGTGGTTCTGCTTGGTTGCCACAGCTTCATAGGCAGAACCACCCACGGCCTCGGATGATGAGACGGTTTCCCTCCCGGAAAAGTGCCCCTGGGTATGCAGCATGTTAATCTGGTTCAGATTTGGACCAGGTCTCCCTGCCTTGGTCTGATCTTCACTGGGGGTACCCAGCTCCCCACTGTCTCCCCAGAGTGACACCCAGGGCTCTAAAAGATCCCGCAAGAGAAAACATGTCGAAGTTGTCATTGACCCCAGTCGCAGCCAAATGTCATAACCCAGGGGGTGCAGGAATCCCATCACACCATCAAGGGCTCTCCCCTCGTGGGTCCCCCTCAAAAGGGCACCCCTCAGCCCTCTGTTCCACGTCCTGTTGCTAATGGGGACAATCCAGGGCCAGAGTGGAGATGGACAAAACCAAAATGCAGTGGCTCTGAACTCTACGCAATAATTAAAGAGGAAACAAAGAAGCTTTGTGCGCGTCGCACCTCCCGCACCTCCCGGAGTTACGGTCTTAAAGGTCCAGTTTGCTCTCACCACAGCTTTGGAGGTGAGAAGGGGCTGGCGGGGGAACGCGAGGCCGCTGGGCTGGCCCAGTTCCCTTCCCCCTCATTCCAGCTTATTTTTGGAGGCTCGCTGGGCTTGCTTGAGACAGGCAGCCGGCTTCCTCGGGCTTTCAGCAGCTGGCAGCGTCCGGTTTGTCCTCATTTTGGAAGTCTGTCTGTGGCATTGGCAGGCACTGCGGATCCGCGATCAGGAGCTCCAGGCAGTTAGAGCAGGAGCCAGCCTCAGACTCTTCCCCGCAGACACCCGGCATCTGCTCCACTTCACCATCCCCGAGAAGGAAAGTGCCGGAGGTGGGGGTGGACCCAGCCTATCGAGGCCCGGTGCCCGCAGGGGCTCACGGGCCACCCGTCTCAGGTTTGCATCCTGGCTGTGCCATGCACCAGCTGTGCAACCCTGGGAAATTCGCTCCATCTCTCTGAGCCTTATTCTCCTCATGTGTGCAGATGATTACATAGATCAATTGCTTGGCACAGACAGCTTGGCACATGCTAAGCACACAGAAAATATTAGCTGACAATATTAGTGCGGAAAAGAATGTCCACAGGATGAGAGAGCAAGGCTGGCATGTAGGAGGACTGTGCCCAAGGTTATTTCTCCAAAAGAGCATAATTATGTTTTTCTCTGGGATGGTCTTTTTAAAGGAAATAATCCTTTTTTAAAATATAACTTTTTTTCTTTGGGTTTTTTTTTCCCTCCAGTTATAGAATGATTCCTAATTACTGGATAAAGTTTAGAATATGATTAGCATGTGGATGTATTTTCTTTTAGTTCTTTCTTTCTCTCGATTTATTTTTTTATTTTTTAATTCTTATCCAAGGAGATGTTTTTATTGATTTTAGAGAGAGAGGAAGGAAGGGAGGAGAGAGAGAGAGAAGCATCGATATGAGAGAGAAATATCGATTGGTTGCCTCCGACCAGGGATTGAACCCAAAACCTAGGTATATACCCTGACCAGGAATCGAACCTGTAGCCGCTTGGTGTACGGGACAATGTTCTAACCAACCCAGCCACCCGGCCAAGGCTCTCATGGACTTTTTACAAAGGGGGATATGCTGAACCTACTTTCGTTACCTAGTATCATTCCTTTAATGATACAGCCCAAATATCTCTTAATATCATAAAACATTTCTCCTGTATCATAACTTCAAATGCCTGTACAAGGTTCCATTGAGTGTAACTCCACCCCTCCTTCCTGAACACCCGTCCGCTAGGTACTGGACACGCAGGAATGAACTCGCAGAGTTCTCGTTGAGGTCGGGAGATCACTGCCATGTTACCCGTGGGAAACAGCCCAGGGTCACACCACTGGTCAGAGGCAGACGGGATTCAAGCCTCCAAAGCCAAAGGCCCTCTCGTTCCAGAGGAGGGTGGTTGCCACCAGAGGGGTCGGGGCAGGCAGGTGGGGCCTTCCTCTACGGCTCCGCTAAAATGTCTCTGGAGGGAGAGTCCAGGGCTCTGTGAGAATCTGCCCAGACAAAACACATGGATGGTCTCTTTCCCAGAAAGGACATCCAAGTGGCCAATGGAGCATCTGAAGAGACGCTCACTCACGCTCAGCACCTGGGCGATGCAATTAAAAACCTAGCGCGACGCCTCCGCACACCTGCCGGGGTGGCCGGAAGGCGAAAGGCCAGGAATACGGAGTGTGGGAGAGAGGATGGCGCGACCAGGAACCCACACGCCGCTGTGGGTGGGCATGCACACTGGTACCACCACTCTGGGTCTGCTTAGCTGTATGTACCAAAGCTGAATATGTAGGTACCCTACCTATGCCAAGCAGGAGTATGCACATGTGTACCCCCAAGTGCATGTGGTAAAATGGTCGCGACTGCACCATTTGTAATAAGGCCACTGGAAGCCATGCAGATGCCCGTCGGCAGCGGTCTGGGGTAGATGCCCTGTGGTAGTGAATGCACCACACAGCCATGAGAATGCACCGACTACGGTTAAACTCGGCAATATGGGTGGTTCCCCCAAACATGCTGTTGAATGAGAGCAACTGGACTCCCAAGACCCACACTGCACGATGCCACTCCATGAAGAACATCATTAAAAAGAGGCAAAGGCATGTGTGATGTTAGAGGTCAGGGTAGTGGCTGCCCCTGCGGGGGGAAGGGTGTGAGATGGCTGAAAGGGGAGCGAGGGGTTTCTGGGGTGCTCATCATGTCTGGTTTCTTCCCCTGGATGCTGGTTCCGTGGGTGTGTTCCTCCCCTGAGACCAGCGGGCTGTACGCTCACGTGCACTTTTCTGTGTGCGCGCTGGGCTGCAGTAGAAAGTTAAACTAAGAAGGCTCTCCGAGAAGCACCTGACTGCGTGTGTTCTTTCTCTCCCCAAACCCAGGGCCCCGACCAGCCAGCGTGGTGGTCCTGCACAGGGCCCTCGCCCCGGCCTTTGAGACGTTCTGCCAGGCCAACCGTGGCCCTCTGCCCCTGCTGGGCCGCAGCGAGCCGGGCAAGTGGGTGTTGCCTGCCCTGGGCGCCGTCTCAGGCACCAGGTAAAATGCGCGGGTTAGCGGGGTTAAAGGTGGCAGGGGCCGATGCTGCAGCCAGGTGCCTGTCACCAGGGACCTCTGTCCAGCTTCGCAACCCCACAGGGCCTGGCACGGAGGCTCACTCGTGACTGTTAGGAAGGAGATGCCTTCCCCCCGATCCCACTCCTACCGCTAGCCCCTGCCCCTGCCCCTGTCCCTGCCTCTGCCCCTGCCCCAGCCCCAGGTAAAATCTTTGGGGTCACCAAGAAGGCCCAGCCCTGGAGAAAGCCCACTGGCACTGCCCTCCAGCCATGTCATCACCAAAGCCAGAAACCTGTCTGCTCAGCACGAGGAAGAAAATGGTCCCATTGGAGTGACTTTTCCTGACACTATGTCTAGTCACCTCCAACCCCCCAGCCCTCTCCCCGAGAGAAAACTTTGGGGAATGTTCTGCTTTTATCATGTTGTGGACTCCAGCGATCCCCCTGGGCCGAGGCCAGCTCACATACCTTCTCCCTAGCACCTCCCGTGCTCCCAACTCAGGGACTCGCAGAGCAGACCACTGTGCTGCCTCCACTGTTCCTCTGCCTATCAGTGGTCAGCAAACTCATTAGTCAACAGAGCCAAATATCAACAGTACTTCTTCAAAATAGACTCACCCCGGCCGAAAACCGGCTTCTGCGCATGGGCCACGAAGTTTCAATCGCACTGTACGCGCTCCCACACGTGGTATTTTGTGGAAGAGCCACACTCAAGGGGCCAAAGAGCCGCATGTGGCTCGCGAGCCACGGTTTGCCGACCACGGGCCTAGGTTGTGCTTTCCTCCTTGTCCAGTTGGTGAACTCCTCTTCATCCTTCAGGACCCAACGCCGGCACCTCCCCCTCTGTGGGGAAGAATGACTCTCTCCCCTCCCTGTGCCACTCCTCTTCCTAGACTGTGAGCACTCACAGTTCTGATTCCAATGGAGTCTCACCTGCCAGGGTAGGATTCCGAGCTTCTTAAGGGCTGGGCCTGTGCCCTCTCCATCACCATAGCCCCATCCCTGGGTCTGCGCCTGGCACGGAGGAGCGGATCAGCAAAAGGCTTTGGAATGAATGAAGAACGGGCTTGTAACCAAAGTCTTTCAACCCTGCAGACGTTTCTCTAAGGAACGAGGCAGGCCTCGCCATGGCCAGCCCATGTGTCCTCTGTCCCTTCTGTCTGCGGGCCCTGCCTCGACAGCAGAGAGAACACCATTGTTTTTTTTCTTTTCTTTTCTTTTTTAAAATATGTTTTTATTGATTTCAGAGACAGGAAAGGAGAGGGAGAGATAGAAACATCAATGATGAGAGAGAATCATCCATCAGCTGCCTCCTGCACGCCCCCTACTGAGGATGGAGCCCACAATCCAGGCATGTGTCTATTGTGTTTTTTCCTTGCTGGTTGGGTTGGTCTTGGGTAAAGTTACAGGAACTATAACAGGAGGGGGCGGGGCTATATTATATACGTGCTGACTTAATCGTTTCCAATCTGGCAAGATCTGAAAATGCCAGCAAGGCCCCCTGCTCAAAACTGCATCGCCTGTCGCAGTGCCAGTGCCAGAAATTTCAGCCCCAGACGTCCTCTTCCCTCTCCCTGGTCCTTTTCATTTTTTATTATTTTTTTAATGTATTTTTGTTGTTGATAGTATTACAGATACCTCCCATTTCCCTCCCTTCCCCCCTCCTCCCAGCCCCTGCTCTCCCCCCTACAGGTCTTCACTACCCTATTGCCCGTGTCCATGGATATAAGTATATAAGTTCTTTGGTTTATCTCTTCTCATCCACCCAACCCCACATCGAGGTATGTCAGTCTGTTCCACGCCTCCCTGCTTTGGGTCTTATGTTGTTGGTCAGTTCATTTTGTTCATTAGCTTCCACACATAAGTGAGGTCATGTGATGTTTGTCTGTCTCAGACTGAGGTAAATATTCACTTAGCATAATATTTTCCGGGTCCATCCATGCTGTCCCAAAGAATAAGAGATCCCCTCTTGTTGACAGCTGCATAGTATTCCATAGTAGTAAACGTCCCACCACCGCCCTGGTCCTTTTTAAAAATGCCTGGTCAAGGCCCGTATTGAGCCTGGGGTCTGCGAACTTCCCCTTGTGTCCCCAGGATGGACCGTCCCCAGTTCCGCAAGTACGAGTTCGGTGCCTGCACCGGCAGCCTGACCTCGCTGGAGGAGTACTCGGAGCAGCTGAAGGACATGGTGACCTTCTTCCTGGGCTGCAGCGCCTCCCTGGAAGGGGCCTGGGAGAAAGCGGGGCTCCCCAGAAGAGACCCGCCGGGCCACGGCCACATGGGTGCATATAAGGTAGGGACACAGTCCACAAGGCAAAATGACTTGAAAGTGTGGATCACCTGTATTTTCCTGTGCTGGGAGAGCATCGGCTCAGGAGGCTGGAGGCCTAAGCGCTGGCCCCAGCTCAGCCACTCCTGCAGCTGCTAACCTCTCATTGCCCATGAGAGGCTATGGAATAACCTCTCTCTCCTGCCCACCCCCGGGACAGCCGTGGGCACCCAGCGTGGCCTGGGGTGGGAATCCAGCCCTTTCAGACAGATCGCTGCGGCTGCATAAACCAAGCCTGTTTGGAATTTGTCTGGCTTCTTCGTTGTTGTTGTTAACCTCACCCAAGGATATTTTTCCATTGATTTTTAGAGAGAGGGCAGGAGACAGCCGGGCCACGGCCACATGGGTGCATATAAGGTAGGGACACAGTCCACAAGGCAAAATGACTTGAAAGTGTGGATCACCTGTATTTTCCTGTGCTGGGAGAGCATCGGCTCAGGAGGCCGGAGGCCTAAGCACTGGCCCCAGCTCAGCCACTCCTGCAGCTGCTAACCTCTCATGGCCCATGAGAGGTTATGGAATAACCTCTCTCTCCTGCCCACCCCCGGGACTGCCGTGGGCACCCAGCATGGCCTGGGGTGGGAATCCAGCCCTTTCAGACAGATCGCTGCGGCTGCATAAACCAAGCCTGTTTGGAATTTGTCTGGCTTCTTCGTTGTTGTTGTTAACCTCACCCAAGGATATTTTTCCATTGATTTTTAGAGAGAGGGCAGGAGACAGAGAGACAGAAACATCCATATGAGAGAGACACATTGATCGGTTGCCTCCCGCATGCACCCTGACAGGGGCTGAGGGTCAAGCCTGCAACCCAGGTACATGCCCTTGACCAGAATCAAACCCGTGACCCTGCAGTCCACAGGACGACAGCCTAACCACTGAGCCGAACCGGCGAGGGCTGTCTGGCAGCTCAGTGAGATTTCTGGCAGCTCAGTGAGATTTTTGAAAACCCTCCCTGGCTCGCTCGTCCTGGCATCAGTGAGGATGCGCCCGGCTGGGGAAATGCCGGGGATTTGTGGCGGAGCCCCGGCCGGGCCATCCGCTGCCTCTGTCAGGAAGCCGGGTCATGTTCTGGGCCAGAGGCGGCCGCCGGCGGTCACACACACAGGGTGGTCCCCTCTCCCGGGACGTGCCCGCTGTTAGGGCTGCCTCCCTGCTGTGTCTCCGAGGTTTTATTCCAGCCGCCGCTTGCCATGGGGAAGGAACCAGACTCCCTCGTTCCACTCACCACCCCCTGGACATGGTATGAGGTCCGAGAAGGTACCTGGCTGGGTCGGTGGTCAGCCAGCGTCCACGGCCCGCCCGGGTCTCTTCACGGAGGACTCAGTCTGGGGATCTCACCTTGAGCTGAAAGCTCGCTGGTTGGGGCTCCTGCCAGGAGGCCCGCGCTGCCTCTGACAATAAACAAGGCTGCCCACAGTGCGAGCTGCTTTCCACGCGCGAAATAGGCGCCTGTGTGATTTTCTTGAAAGTAGGGAAGGGGGAGCAGAGCCTCCGCTGCTGGCAGGGCCCAGGCAGGGTCTGGCCCCAGAACACAGCCCCCATTTGCAGGTAAGAGCTGGGAGGACCTTGTGGCCCATCACCTGCGGCCTGTCATTTTGGATGAGGAAACTGAGGCCTGGAGAGAAATAAGGACTTTCCCAGGTCCCCAAGCCAGACGGGAGCCTCCTGGCTCCCAGGTGTACAATGCCGTCAGTGGAGGTGGCCGTGGGCCGATGCTTTGCAGGGCTGCTCGTCTCTGCCAGGCCGTGCTCACAGAGCCATGGTTTTCTCCTCGTTCTTTTTCTTTTATTTGCACACTGTCTGCGGCTGCTTCGTGCTGCAGCAGCGGAGTTGAGTCACAGTCTTGGCGGCAAGAACAGCACCAGATGTTAGCCGGGTGGCGTCAGACCGGACTTGGGTTCAGCAGCCTGGGTACTCGATTTCTGGCTGAGAAAGAATTCACAGCTGAGACTCCCAACTGCCAGAGAAAGTGCATTTAGCAAGTCACAGAGGCAGAAGTGAGCCGTAGAAGACATGGGCTCAGGGAACAAGTGACAGAGGCAAAGGCAGGGCCTGTGGAGCTTAGGAGAGAGAAGGCTAAAGGTAATGTGCCTGGGCAGCGGTTCTCAACCTTGGCTGCACATTAGAATCACCTGGGAATCTTTTTAAAAATCCTGATTTCTGGGCCTCATCCTCCGGAAATTCTGTTTCTTTGTTACTAATGTTGTGGACCCTTCCCATCACAAAGAAACAGGGCCCGGGGTCCAGGCACAGGTCCCCATCCCTGTGCGGGCTCAGGAGGCCGAGGCGACTGGTGCCGGGGGGACGTGCTCCCGAGAGGAGAGCATGCTGAGCCAGGGTCTCTCTCCAACACTCACGGCCCCAGTGGCTACCCAACAGCTTTCGGTTTAATGCTGACGCCTCTGCACATTGGCTCCTGGAGACACGGCCTGGCAGCCACCTGCGAGTCAGTTCGCGGCCTCGAGCAGATGAAGGGCACCCCTCGGGGATAGCCGCCCGCCTCCTGAGAGAGTCCCCGGCCTGTGCCCTCTGGGTGCTGTTGTTCAGCAGGTTCCCAAGGTTTCATCTGGCTGCTGTCCGGGGGCCAAGCCGTCTAGTTGGCCGCCCACACGGTCCCAGCAGATGACATCCTGGCCATGCCCTACATCTGTCCCAAGCCCCTGCAGGGCCCAGGCGCCATTCAGGGGAAACACCCACCAGGAAGTCAGTCACACAGGCCATCCTGGGCCACTTCCCCTGAGTCAGGACAGCGAGGCAGGGCCCGGGGTCCAGGCACAGGCCTCCGTCCCTGTGCGGGCTCAGGAGGCCGAGGCGACTGGTGCCTCACGCTCCCGGGCGTTCCTCGGCTCCGCTGCCCCCAGCGGTTTCAGCTGCGGCCCACTGGCCACTTGAGGCCCACGGAGAACATTCAGAGGATTCCATGGAATTGGATGGGAAGAAAAATCGTATTTTCACTAGTATTTTCGGAGCCTCAAACTGACCTTGAGCGCGGCCTTCGATTATGAACGCAGGCGACAAACTGCAGTCGTATCTGCGACTCGGTGGCTGCCCCGAGGAACCACAGGCATTTCCATGTCCCATCACGGGTCTTCAGACATCTCAGGATCATCCTGTGTGCTGATCACGAATTCAAAATTGTCACAGCAGGCCTGTCGTCTTGCTCCTTAACCGGTTAATGCAGAGACACAAAGATTGCTGGGTCACATTTTTTCATCATCTGGTAACTGCGTGTGCAGTATAATTGGTTTCCCTTATGATCCTATGCATTTCCTTTCCTGTGGTCTAAAACATCACTTCGATGGGGGTCCCAGGCTGCGCCAGACTACCAAAGGGGTCCACGGCACCCACAAAGTTAAGGTTCTCTGTTTCAGACCAATCATCACCAGCAAACTTCTTCATCTGTGTGTCGCATGGGAGTAGAAGCTATATTTGTAGAAGAGCTACTGGGACCTCCTACCTACCTCATTCACTGCCTTGAACTCGCAGTACTCAGAGCTCCGTTCTGTGCTAATTCTATTTTTTAACATTTTTTTAAAAAACTTGATTTCTTGGCAGACCACAGTGCCTTGCGCCACCGTTGCTGGCTTTTGCTGCCCTCTGGTGGTCACCATGAGGCCCGTCCCCAAGGACAAGCTGGAGAGGCTGGTGCAGGCCAGTTGCTCCCTGATGGGTGAGCAAGGACACCCCGTGCACATCGGCGACCCAGGTGAGTGGCCAGGCTCGCTCATGACTCTGACAGCTGCTCGTGGGCTTTGGCCCGAGAAGACGGGAACGGGCTTTGTTCCTGAGCTCCCGAAGCTGGCCCTCCCGCAGCTGTGTTACCTGTGCTGGGTCGGCAGATGCCCCTCAGGTTCAAGGGGCTGCCCTGGGCAGAACAGCTCCTGTGACCTTCAGGTGGACCTGGGGCGGGGGAAGCAGGTGGTGGAGTGTGGAAGCTGAGCTATTTGTCTTGAGACTTGAGCTCAGAGCCGCCTCGAATCTGGGCTGTTGTTCAGCGGCGTATTTGGCTGGGACACAGCTGCCTTCCAAATGTTCACGTGAGCTGAAACCCATTGATCCCCAGCATCTGAACTCAATCTGAGTGCGAGGAAAAACCTCTGAGAGCGAGTGAGCAGATCCAGGCGTGGAGGCTGCCCTGGCCTCTCAGAGGCTCTCAGAGGGCCTGGTGGGGACTTGGGATTGGGCCTTGGGTGCGAGTGAGCGTTAGTGTCATTGAACTTGCTCGGCTGTGTCACAAAGTCAGACACAGCCTGCATTCTGTGACAATCCAATCAGCCCGAGCCACCTTCCTTAGAGCAATGATCTCAGGAGCGCCCACAGCAAAGTGTCTGCTGAGTTTTCCTCACGGGCGACACCCATCTTTGCTGTCCTGATGAACATTCTGTGGCCAGCCAGGGGTAGGGACGCTGTTGGGGGTCCAGCAGCAGGGTTTAGGTCTGCGTTAGGTGACTCAGTCTGTGCCTAGATAAACTCAAAGACACTGGCTTTGTTGGCAATCCATGTAATGCAGGTGTTGGGCTGATGTACCCGAGCCGCCTCGGCCAGTCACACCAGGCCTTGGAGACCCCTGTCCCTCCGAATGGCCCAGGAGTCGGCAAGCATTCTGAGTGGCTACGCCCGATTCCTTTCTCCTCCTCGTCCTTCTCCGGTGCCATCTACAGCAACCCTGTGACTAGAGTTCCTCTTGGAGAAAGAACCATGCACTTCCCCACAAGTTCAACTCGAATGGGGGCTGCCAGGGCAGGCCCTGGTGGAATTCACGTTCCTTTTCCCTCTGCAGAGCTGCTGGGAATCCAAGATCTTTCCAGACCTGACTACGGGGATCCTGTGCCGTGTCAGCCGGGGGAGGTCCCGGTGTTCTGGCCTTCCCAGCTGACCAGTCTCGAAGCGGTCAGCGGCTACCGTACGTCCGGCTTCTGCGGGCAACTGCTCTGGCCTAGGGTGGAACCTGGTGGTCTGTGGTTTCCGAAAGGATAGGCTCACGGTGCAGTGACTTAAGGAGGGAAGTCATGTGACAGACCTGCAGCCCACAGCCAAGATGTCTCTGGCTTCTTTTTTCATCCCGGGGTGGGTCCCACCAGAGCAGCTTGTCCTTCAGCTCAAATTGTCTTGATTAAACATATTTCTCTCCGCAGAAGGTTCATAGCTAGTTCCAAGGGCCATCATTTAGATGGACTTTTTGAGACCTTTTGGAGGTTGGTGTGGCTTTGAAAGCAAAGGCGAAAACAGACAACAGGACTAAACAAACCCACTCCACATGGTGTTTGCAAGCCACACTGGCAGTACATTTTTTCAAAGGCCCAGGGTGATGTTACAATGAAGAGCCACACGAGGGCCCCAATTAGCTCACGGTGAGGGTGGGATGTGAGCGAAACATAAAAATATAACGATTGCTGCCCGTTGTCGTAGACACTGGAAAATTCTAGTGTCTGCCACACGTGCGCTACAAATCGTAGAACTGAGTGTCACTTTCCATTTATTTGAAAGCATTCATGGGAGCTTAGCTATCAGAATGGCCTCATGAGAGGAAAAGACATCCCTGATATGCTGATGAGGCATAAACCCCAAGACCCATGGGATTCTGGCTATTTAACATGAATATGTTGGGCACCTACTATGTGCCAGGCACAGGTGAGGTCTTAGGCCTCACCCCCATCCCGTCTCAGCGTTATCTTTGTCTTATAGTTGCAGATGCAGGTTTGGAGAGGATGAAGTTGCATCTCCAACTGCAGTGTGTTTGCCATGCTAAGTCATGTTCTTAGAGATTCCGCTAGAGCGCCTCACATTGCTGTCAGCTAGCAGGAGAGAGTTTTCCAAAGAACAAAATTAGCCTAAACCAAAGCAAAACATAAGTGCTCGGAGAAGAACAGAAGCTCCGTTCAGAGAGAGCTGTTTGTTAGCAAACAGAACATTTGCTGCAAAGGGAGTGAAATGGTTGATGCATTGTAAGAGTTCAGGAAGTACTTTCTGATGTCCCTGGGGTTGCGTTGATGGAGCCCCTAGGGCCCCACCTGTAGCTGTGGCTGAACTTCACTTGTTTTCCCACACTCACCTCATCCTCACTTTCCTAAAACTTGAAGGCACCAAGTTTTAAGTGGAACTTATTTAGCCATAAGCCAGCCTATGGTGCCAACAAAGGGTGCAAGGAGTGCGGTTGGGGGAGGCGGTGCATGGCGCTCTCTTGTCCATCAACAGCAGGCTAGACCAGAATGCACTGGGCTTGATGAAGAAGGTGGGCTCATCCCTCTTGCTGTGTGTTTTAGAGACCCCGCTGGCTTTCACCAGCGCACCGGGCTCCACGGTTATGACTGACCTGAAGGATCTGGAGGCTCCAGCCGGTTGTCTCACCCCAGAGGGAATTCCAGAGGTCCATCCTATTTCCCAAGATCCTTTGCACTACAGCATCACATCCGCTTTGGCCGTGCAGAAGATCAGAGAACTAGAGACTGTAATTGCCGTAGACCCAGGTAAGGACCAAAACATTCACGCCATCAGGGCCTGGAGAAATTCATCACTGACACGATGTTCAGTGAAAAGGGCAGCATGGAATTGTATCTATAGTATGATTTAAAAAAAAATGATTTTATTGATTTTTAGGAAGAGAGGATGGGAGAGGAATAGAGAGACAGAAACATCAATGAGAGACAAACAGCATTGATCCGCTGCCTCCTACACACCCCCTACTGGGGATGGAGCCTGCAACCCGGGCATGTGCCCTGACTGGGAATCGAACCAGTGACCTTTTGGTTCACGGGTCTACACTGAACCACTGAGCCACATTGGCCGGGCTATAGTATGATTTTTAAAAAATGTTTATACTGTATATGAATCCCCAAAAGGCTAGAAGTAAATGCACCGCAGTACTGAAAGTGAGGGTCTCTGGGTAGTAGAACAAAGGGTGATTTTTCTTCTTTATTTTCCCCCCAAAATGTTCAACCTTAAACATGTGAGAGAGTTTGGGAGACGGGCTGGTTAGCTGGGCACGTTGCCAGAACTAAATTGGGGTTGGCGAGGTAAGAAAGAAGGGCGATTGGTTTCTAGGTAGTCAAGTGCCACTGTTCAAACATCATCATTCGTGTATTTAACAGTGGCCTCATCTCCCCCTTTTTTTTGCCATTGCCCCGGGGTTGGGCGCAGAGCAGTTTTTTGTTTTTTTATACTGGGGAGCAGGGGCTGGAATTCTACTCTTTGGGGGATCCTGGTGGGCAGGACCCTGCAGTTTGCCTCACAACCGTTTGCAGCCAACCTGTATATTGCAATTGCGTCTCAGAGAAAAGACAGTCCTTCTGTGGTTTGTCAGCCTCTGGCTTTCGAGACAGGGACCGGGCTAGTGGGGCCCACGAGGGATCTGCTGGGTCCAATTGGGAGGAGGTTTGTGAAGGCTGGTTGAGGGGCTTTCAACTTCCCGCTGCGTCTTCATTTACCGGCTGGATTTCTAATTCAGGTGGCCAGCAGAGAGCGCCATTGTGCTTGAGTGGTCTGGGGCTTTTCTGTTTTATTTTTTTCGGACAAAGGCTCACAGAGAAGCAAGGTGTAGACTTCACAGCTGCTCTGCACCTCAGTTTCCTCATCAGTATAACTGGAGTAATAACAATTACGCCTTTCTCTCAGGGATTGTGATAGCTCATGAGCATAATAGTTATTGAGTTTTACTCTGCCTGGGCCAGGCATGTGCTAAAAGCATTTACATGTTTCATCTTATCAAATTCTCCCAATAACCCTAGGAGGCAGCTATTATTAACTTCTTTTAACAGATGGGGGAACTGAGGCATATAAGGTTAAGAAACTTGCCCAAGTCCACATACCTAGTAGATGGTTGGGCAGAACTTGAACCCACACCCGCTGACTTCAAGGCCACGATCAGTAAGTGGGAGGTAAATTGGAGTCTGAATCTGAATGGTATGTGCCCGGCATTTAACGTGCTCTGGTCTCTTCTGACTCATGCCCCAGTCCCTCTCCTGCCCTTCTCACGGGCTGTGATTCTACCCCTGGTTGTTCTTGCACGTTGACCGCCTGAAGAAGGCATATGTGGCCTCGCTGCTGGCCCACCAGACACCTGTCCCCCAAGCAGATACCTAGATCTACGGTGGTGGGGTCTGCAGAGAGCAGAGGCGTGAGACCAACCTGGGAGGTCGACCCTCCAGGCCAGACTCCTGAGACCCCAACGCTGATGGTGGTGACACTGGGGGAGAGAACAGCGCCGTCTTGCACGTTGACCGCCTAAAGAAGGCATATGTGGCCTCGCTGCTGGCCCACCGGACACCTGTCCCCCAAGCAGATACCTAGATCGACGGTGGTGGGGTCTGCAGAGAGCAGAGGCATGAGACCAACCCGGGGAGGTCGACCCTCCAGGCCAGACTCCTGAGACCCCGACGCTGATGGTGGTGACACTGGGGGAGAGAACAGCGCCTGCGCAGGGCCACGGAGCAGACAGTTTGGGTGCCCGCTGGTGTTGGCTGACACTGTGGCCCAGAATCCGACAGAGTAGCCCAGTCTGAGTCATGTCTGACCTTCCCCCTGGACCTGGGAGCAAAGGCTGCCCCCCAATTGCAGAGGGATCTGCGATAACAAAAGTTCCTGTGAAACCAGAGGGCATAGCTTTTTGCTTGATTGTCTGTCTGTCAGGTCTTTCATTTGGTCATTCATTCATTTATTCTGCAGGGAATATGGTTCTCTTAACCTATAGACACACAGTAAATGTGGGACGTAGTTCCTGCGCCCCCCGCCCCCAAGATGCACCTTCTAGGACAGTGATGGCGAACCTATGACATGCGTGTCAGGGATGACACGCGTGTCAGAGGTGACACGCGAACTCATTTTTTTGGTTGATTTTTCTTTGTTAAATGGCATTTAAATATATACAATAAATATCAAAAATATAAGTCTTTGTTTTACTATGGTTGCAAATATCAAAAAATTTCTATATGTGACACGGCACCAGAGTTAAGTTAGGGTTTTTCAAAATGCTGACACGCCGAGCTCAAAAGGTTCACCATCACTGTTCTAGGACATACGCACGTACAGAGGTGAACGCTCATGGCTGTGCATACCTAGTCTCTTACGTAGTTAACCTCCTTGGTGGATATTTTTTACAAATTCCTGTAATACTTTCTCTCTCACAAACACTCTCACCCATGCTGACGGCTCTCTCACACGGCACAAGGATCATGAGGAAAGATGAATTATTGACTCTGCCTTTAGCTCAGATTTTAAAAAAAAAGTAACTGGGAAGTGAATTTACTGCAGACGCAAGGCACCCACCGCTTAATAAAATGTCCTGGGAGGGCGGCCACAGCCCCCACCCCTTGGTGCTTGTGCAGACGGGGGTCCGTCAGGGCTTGAAGCATGGGGCTCGGGGCAAAGGCAGATCTATGACCGTCTGGATGTGCCAATATCATCGATCAAGGAGCATCTTTGATCCTCCAAGCACCAGATGCGCTTCACTCCTCCGCTGTTAAATACGCAGATAGAAGATTAATGGCAGTGGACCGGGCACTGCTCTCTGGGCTTAATAATAGAGCCACTCTGTCATTTCTGAGAGGACGTTGGCTTGCATCTGAGGTGCCTGGAGACTCTGGAGATTTATAACAGTCACGTTTGCACTAATAATAAATCCATCACAAATGTACAGACCACTTTAGAGTTGACAGAGTTCTCTCCTCCTCTTTTTTTTTGGGGGGGGGGGCGTTATGCTCAGTCCAAATAGATTACAGTCCAATTTCTTTCTTGTTTTCTTTCAACATTTATTTTTCTCTCCCTTTATCGACAGCAACTCATGTTCATTGTATAAATATATGAAAGTAAAGAGGCAATACAAATTACCAGAATCCCATCCCAAATGTTGGCCCTGAAAAGTCTTTCTCTTCAGTCTTGAACCTATAATATTGACACCAACAAAAACAATATTTCTCTCTCTCTATATATATGTATATCATGCTGTGATACTATTTTAGAGCCTGCTTTTTAAACCTTTTAATACACTGTGAACATTTTCCCACGTCATTCGCCTTCTACAGCAATCTTTCTAATGTCTGCATAGAGTTCCGTTTTACAAATGTTCTGCCGCTGTCACTACTATCATTTTGGCACCATAAACAGTGCCGCAGTGGACATCCTCATGACTGCGTTCATTACTGACCACTTTACTGGGTTGCCTTCCTAGAAGCGATGGCTGGCTCCTGCAGACAAATCTACGGTCCCAACCAGATGAGTGTTCTGGTTCCCACTCCCACCAACCCTGTGTGTGGGGCCATTTCCCCTCAGCCTCCTCCCATTTGGGCCACCCCCAGGCTCCTCGTAGGAACACTGAGGTCGAGAGCAATCCAGGCTGAGGCCAAGGTCACGCAGCTACCATGTGCCAACACTTGGACCTGAATGTCAGTTTCCAGATTCTAAACCTGGGACTTTTCCTCCATAACAGGAATCCAGCCCCGGGTCCCTGCAGAGTCTCCCGGCACCTCCAATGCACGCTGACGTCCTCTCCCGTCCCTTAGGCCCACCTCTCATTTTAGCCGCCGCGGGGATGGGAGCTCTGAGTCCCATCCCGCCTCCACGTGGCATAGACGCATAAACAGTGCCGCAGTGGACATCCTCATGACTGCGTTCATTACTGACCACTTTACGGGGTTGCCTTCCTAGAAGCGATGACTGGCTCCCGCAGACAAATCTACGGTCCCAACCAGATGGGTGTTCTGGTTCCCACTCCCACTGGCAGCCTCCCCCGCACCTGGGCCACCCCCAGGCTCCTCGTAGGAACACTGAGGTCGAGAGCAATCCAGGCTGAGGCCAAGGTCACGCAGCTACCATGTGCCAACACTTGGACCTGAATGTCAGTTTCCAGATTCTAAACCTGGGACTTTTCCTCCATAACAGGAATCCAGCCCCGGGTCCCTGCAGAGTCTCCCGGCACCTCCAATGCACGCTGACGTCCTCTCCCGTCCCTTAGGCCCACCTCTCATTTTAGCCGCCGCGGGGATGGGAGCTCTGAGTCCCATCCCGCCTCCACGTGGCATAGACGTGCTCCGCGGTGACCTGAGTGTAGACAACGGCACCGTGGTATGTGACGAGAGTCGGAAAGCTGTGCTGCCCGGCTGCCACCGGCTTGGCAGCCACTGGCGGCAGCTCTAGCAGACGCTGCTGGTGCCCTGCCCAAACCCCAGCTGCAGGGGGCAGCTCTCGGAGCCATAGCTCCCACCTTAGGCCAGGGTCTCTCTGCTCCACCACCAGAGCAGGCACAGCCCGGGAGTGCGAGGAGTCAGCGTCCCGATGGGCAACCTTCAGCCCACAGGGGTCAGGAGCCAGTGCAGGCATGCCCAGTCCCCCGTCCTCTGGAAGGACAGCCCTCAGCTGTGCTCCACACCATTTCTTTCTTTCTTTCTTTTTTTATTTTATTGATTTCAGAGTGGAAGGAAGAGGGAGAGAAATAGAAGCATCAATGATGAGAGGGAATCGTTGATCCGCTGCCTCCTGCACGCCCTCTATTGAGGATCGAGCCTGCAACCCGAGCATGTGCCCTGACCAGGAATTGAACTATGACCTCCTGGTTCATGGGTCTGCGCTCTACCACTGAGCCACACTGGCCAGGCTCCACACCATTTCTCACAGGATTGAGCCCCAGTTGCCTTCAGAGTTCATCTGCTCGCCCACACATGCTTTAGCGGCTTCTCTCCTTTTTCTCTATCATGTCACCTCTTCCACCTTCTGACTTCTTTCCTGGGCTCAATTTCCATTGGAATACTCTAATGTCTTAGGGTCTTCTTTGGGGGAATCCCCAACTGAGACAGTACTGTGTCCCTTCCTCCTTCTGTGGTCCCCTGAATTGGGGTTTGCCATAGCAAATAAACCCCGAGATGCTTTGCTCAAATAACAGTCCAGGTTGGGACTCCCAGTGTGAGTATTCAAGCTCAGCAGGAAAGGGAATCTGCTCCACCCAGTCACTCAGGGACCCAGCACTCTGCCATCACCGCATGAGAACCCTAGAGGGCACCAGTTGTCAACATCTCAGCCCCCAGGAAAGGAAGAGCTTGGAGGAGTGCATGGGCGGTACATGGCCAGGAGGGGGCGCACATCACTCCTACTCTTATTCCCTTTCAACAGGTCTAGGATTGCTACCTAGAGAGAACCGAGTCTGTGGCCACAGCTAACTGAAAGAGAGGCTGCCCCGCCATGTATCCCGCTGCCCTTCCCTAGCGGGGCAGGGGCAGAGGACACGTTCTGGTGAACAGTTGGCAGCCTCTGGCACATCCCTCAAAACTACCTCTGAAACAGACAAAGAAACAAACTGCCGTTTGCATGAGTTTCTACTTGAAGCACAATTATATTATTGTGTGATTTTGTTTTATTTTATTTGTAATTTTAGGCAACAGGGGCATCGGGCACCTGCTCCGCAAAGATGAGCTGCTGAGGGCCTCTCTGTCGCTGTCCCATGCCCACGCGGTGCTCATCACCACCGGGTTCCCCACGCATTTCAACCACGAGCCTCCGGAAGAGACGGACGGGCCACCGGGCGCCATTGCTCTGGCCGCCTTCCTGCAGGCCTTGGACAAGGGCGTCTCCATGATCGTGGACCGGAGAGCCTTGAGTTTGTTCAAGAAGCTTGTTGAAGAGGCTGTTGAGCAAGGTGAGCGGTGAGGTGAGGGCGGACGGTGGAAGGAGTCAGTGTTTGTGGAAATTCTGCTATGCCCTCGACACAGGCCTTCTAAGTCCTTACAGCTCAGAACAACTCTTTAGTATAAGCAACATTATCCCATTTTATAGAGGAAGAGACTGAGGCTCTGAGAGGTCCAGGTGATCTGGAATTTGAACCCAAGTCCATCAGGCCACAGAGCCCATGTACCTGATGCCCAACCTGTGAGAGGCGGGGTGGCCTACAGGGGACTCTTGGCAACACAGGACATCCCTAGACCCCTGGCGTTGGGGGTGGGGGAGTTGAGAATAGAGTGACCGAGAGGCTCAAATGGCAGCGTCTCATCTGGCCCAGATGGGAAGGGCTGCCCCACGCTGCTCAGGTTCCCGGAGCACACAGGTGGGCATAGAGCTGTGAGTGATAGGGCTGCAAGGCTGGGATGCCGAGATGGGTCTCAGGCGTCTCCCCTCTCCTTCATCCTGCAGGTGTTGTTCAGGCATAAGCTGGGAGCCTCGTGACTCTCCCCTGCTTCTCACTGCCCATCTCTCTGTGTCCCTCAAAATGCATTCTTCAGGAGACATAAATCCTTTTAGACTCTCATAAGAGTTTCAACCCCAGGAAGGCATCCCTGAAGCCCCCGTTCTTTCGGAAGTTTCCAAAAGGATGTGTCTGAACATATAGCATCTGTATCACGCAACGAATGTATGTTGAGCACCTACTATGTGCCAGGCACTAGTTTGGGCTCTTGAAATCCATCAGTGAACAAAACTGAAAACAGCCCCACCCCCATGGGCGTCTATTGTACTGGAGTGTAACCGACAGTAAACAACACACGGCAAAAGGAAGGTGTGGGCAGCCCCGATGGGGGGGCTGCTATTTTAAACAGGATGTTCAGACAAGGCTTCACAGAGAAGGTGCCATTGGAGCCAAGACTTGAAGTCAATGAAGCAGTGAGGCCGGGGCTGGCTAGAGGAAGAATGTCCGAGGCTGTGACCTTGGCTGGGACAGAGGCCGTTAGGTGGCGTTGAAGAGAGAGTAATGGTCAGCGACTAGCCCAGAAAGGATGAGGAGAAGAGAAGCTGGGTAGGGAGACACGGAGGTCACAGGGGCAGACCGGGAAGGGCCTCAGGGGAACTGTGAGCACCTGGCCTTTTATTCTGGGGGCGATGGGGGGGTCCTGAGGTACTGAGAGGAGAAAGGCGTGTTCTGGCTTCGGTTTTCATTTTTTAAAGATATGTGTTTGGGTTTGGTTTTTTTTTAATTGATTTCAGAGAGAGGAAGGGAGATAGGGGGGTCCTGAGGCAATGAGAGGAGAAAGGCATGTTCTGGCTTCAGTTTTCATTTTTTAAAGATATGTGTTTAGGTTTTTTGTTGTTTTTTTTTAATTGATTTCAGAGAGAGGAAGGGAGAGGGAGAGAGAGGTAGAAACATCAGTGATAAGAGAGAATCAGCCATCAGCTGCCTCCTGCATGACACTGAAGGACACGTGGAGACAGATGTGAGTCCACTGGGGGGTACATTATATCTCTGCTCTGTTGTAGGCTTCCTGTTTGGGTGGGCCCTGGTGTTGTGACACTGACCTACATACTTGGCTTTGCCCAAGCGATTTGGCATCTCTGAGCCTCAGTTTTCCTCCTCTGTAAAATGGGGGTCACAGTGGTTCTTATCACACAGAACCGCGAACATTAGATGAGAGACCGTATGCCATGTGTTAGCAAAGGGCCGGCTCACTGTCCCCGACGTGGTATTGTGGCATCTGTGTGGAGCACATTCGCTAGCTCACAATACTGGTGACACCAGCCCGGTGTCACCTCCCCCTCCACCAGCCCTGGGGTTTACTCAGGACTAAAAGGAAATAAACTTACGTATCCTCTGGGTCGAGGTCTCGGCTTACCTAACAAAGAATTCTACAGCCACATGTCGTTCGATCATGGAAACGATCGTTTCTGGCGAAGCTTTTGGAAAAGCCAGCAGGAATTGCCCAAACCCTGAGGTCTCAGCTTACCTAACAAAGAATTCTACAGCCACATATCGTTCGATCATGGAAACGATCGTTTCCAAGAAGCTTTTGGAAAAGCCAGCAGGAATTGCCCAAACCCACACGAGGCTGATGCGTCCACTCTTTGCCCGTCTTGTCAAGGTGTTCTGAAGACCCCGATCCCGATCCTAACTTACCAGGGCGGATCCACAGGAGCTGCTCAGGCGTTTCTCTGCGACGAGAGGGACCCCAAGTCTCCTAGGTATGTGTGTCCCCTCCCCGTTGACAGTGGGTGATGGTGGGAGAGGCCGCGTGCTGTTAATTTTGACAACTACGTCCCTGCACACGTCAGCCCTCCGGAGAGAACAAAGCTGTGAGCCACGGGCTCCGATGGGCCAGACTAGCCAACAAGGCCGGGGGTTCCGGGTGACGGGGGTTCAGCGCCAAGGGTCTCTCGAAGTCGCAGGTCCCTGAGAGATGGCATGTCTTCTTGAATGAGAGAGAAGATGATAAAACACAAACACGAGTTGTTTCTCAGACTGGCTCATGATCCATTGGAGAGTCGTGAGATCATTTCAGGGGGGTAGTCAGCACCTTTGTCAAATGAAATAGAAATGTCATCGTATATCTTGTGTTGGGTAATAGCAAGTACTCGCTTGTGAAACTGCTGTGTGTGTTTGTGTGTGTGTGTGTGTGTGTGTATTTTTTATTGTGTATTGTGGTCAAACATTTTGAAAAACGCTTCTCTTTTGTATGTACGTAGGATGCATTTCAGACCTTATAAATTTTAGTACTGTGTTTTGCCAACGTTTTTAACCACAGTCCACGGTAATACATTTTGCATTGCAAACCACACACACACACAATTGAAACAGAAGTTTCAAAATAACAGTATTTACTTGCTGCAGGCAGTGCACTCTAACCTAGTCTAGTCTGTTTTGTTCTGTTCTACTCTGTTTTCTTCTACTTTTCAGAAAATATCGACCTGACCTAATAAATCTATTTCACCGCCCACTGACGAGTAGAATTGAACACTGCTTGCATAGGCCTGGAGGGCAGAGCCGTGTTGCAGCTCACAGCACAGTCAGGTGTTCCCAGTGAGGACCCTCAGTCACCAAGGAAGAGTGTGATTGCAGACCCGATATGCTATTCCAAGCTGCGAGAATGTGTGTGGCACCTGATAGAATGTTTATGTTCCCTGAATGGGTGGCAGACACACAAAGCTCAGACTCGCCAGGGAGAAGCTAGAAACTCCTCCTGGGCCGGTAACACAGATGTGCTCTCCTGCTGAATGGAGGGAGGTGAGCCAGATCTGATCCCCTGATGAATGGAGGAAGTGAGCCAGATGTGCTCTCCTGATGAATGGAGGGAGGTGAGCCAGATCTGATCCCCTGATGAATGGAGGAAGGTCAGCCAGATCTGATGCCCTGATGAATGGAGGGAGGTGAGCCAGATCTGATCACAGGCAGAGAGGCCTCTGCTCTTTAGAGAAGACCCACTAACTTTCCCAGGGAGCAGGTTCCCAGGAGTGAATTCCTTCCTGGGTAGCTGAGGTGAGCCAGATCTGATCGCAGGCAGAGAGGCCTCTGCTCTTTAGAGAACTAAAGAGCAGGTTCCCAGGAGTGAATTCCTTCCTGGGTAGCTAAACGGACTCTTCTGGCTTAAAAAAAAAAATGTCAGCCCGGCCAGGGTGTCTCAGGGGTTGAGCATCGACCTATGAACCAAGAGGTCACTGTTTGATTCCCAGTCAAGGCACATGCCTGGGCTGCAGGCTCAATCCCCAGTGTAGGACATGCAGGAAGCAGCCGATCAATGACTCTCTCTCATGATTGATGTTTCTATCTCTCTCCTCTCTCCCTCTCCCTCTCCCTTCCTCTCTGAAATCAATAATCCTACATAAGAAAAGGCTAATATGCAAATCGACTGAACAGCGGAACGACTGGTTGCTATGACATGCACTGACCACCAGGGGACAGACGCTCAAT